TTTCCACTCTCAAACACACTTAAAGGTTTTACCACTTTTATACTAAAAGCAGAAGTGGGGCAAAAAGAGGTTTACAAATTAATTCCATAACAAAACAGTAAAATCCGTGTAAAGCTTTGTTGCAAGCTAAGAAACATGTACAAGAAATTCTTAAATGAATTACCCTTGTCATACATTCATATTTGAATGCACAGATATATTTACATGTTTAATATCCAAATTCATAATGACATCCAAGACATTCCATGAAAGGTCATCCTTCTGTAGAACTTTGACAGGTGGCTGAAGCACATTACTGAGACGCGTACTGTAAAATTGCATGAAAATTGGAAACAATTAGAATGAAAGCCAACGGAACTGGTCAGGCTACTTCTTCCAGACAGAACTAGTTATTATTCCAGACTTAATCCTTCAACTGTAATGAGCTGCAGCTTTCTGGGTTTCCACAGATCTTTGAAACCTTCCCGTGGCTTTCCAGAGCGATGGCAACCAGTGCCTCTGGTTGAAGATGTAGTTGTAGGTGCTCAGTGGCAATCCTTCACAAGTCCAAAAGCATTCTTCACTCTGGCAAGGGGGTTGGACTAGATGATCTTTCGAGGTCCCTTCCAACCCCAGACATTCTATGATTCTAGTGTATGCTTCTCGTACTTTTCCATGCATGCTTGTGGAGTGAGGCTGGGCTGCTCTGGTCAGTCTTGCTATTATGTACTTTCAAGCTGTAGCACACTTAATGCCTTCTGAGTGTGTACGATAACACCTTCTGAACTCAACTTCTCAACTCTGTTGGGTTTTTGGTTATGGAAGCCCGAAGACGTTAATCCCCATTGCCCGATACTTCATCCACAGCTGTTTAGACAACTGCCAAGCACCAATCTTACCAGATATTCAAAATCCAATTATGGTTCTGATTTGCAAATTGGGCTTTTCCACATCTGGCCAGCCCAGTACTTGCTAAGCAGGAAGAGCCAGAAAGGATCTGTGCACAACAGTTGGGGTGTTCTGAATCTGTACCAGACAGATGCAACAAAAAAACCCCAAAGCATGCAAAACTAAAGCTCTAAATTTTTGTCTCTTGGATGCTAAAGAACAAGTATCTCTTCCCTGGTGGCCAAGCCAGGCAGCTACAGAGATTATATTAGCAGCACCCATGCCCAGAGCCATCACCCACACACAGTGAGCCACTTGTTTTCAGGTCCCCACAACACATCCTAAGTTGTTTGGCTGGTGCACTCACTGCATAGAGGATATTTTAAAAAAAATTATCTTTGCACTGCCCGAAAGCAATGGCATAACAAAACATTCATTGCTTGTTGGTTTTGGAGAGGTAAGGAAAAGCTGAAAATACTGAATGCACTTAAGACACACCCATTTGTCACAGGAGTAAAGGAAGGAATGTAAAGGCACAGCATACTTGTACGCTCCTGTCATTAAGGCCTTATGTTGGTGTGCAAGAATGCTTCACAGGGCTAACCACACAGAAGTACTCGGGTCTAATTCACACTCCCAGAGGTGTTTCAAACAAGAACTGTTTTCTCATGCAACTTCAGGCTCTGCTGTTTACATTATGCTTTTTTTTTGTTCCCCTTTTTTTTTTCTTTCTTTTTTTTTTTTTCAGGCAGAATGCAGGCTCTCTATCCAGTTTCAATGATCTGTTCTTCATTGTGTTTTCTTTAATTTAGTTTTCCAGAAGTGTGCGCTGAACTAAAAAGTGAGAAACAACTCAAGGTTAGTACATCAAGTTAGCACACATTTTAAGTCATGCATCGCTATGTAACGCTGTATGTGGATGACAGACTTTTTCAGGAGGTGTTTGAAACTGTGGGATAAACTCAGGCAAACAGAGGCTTGAAGCTGTGAAGCCAGTACCCTGCATACCAAGAGATACTGCATCCCAGACTTCTCACTCAAATAACCACATCCTACCAGACCCGTGTAGCGATCTACACCGGCAGTATAACCCAGGGTGCAGTTTCAGACTTGCAGTTCTGTGAGTGCAGAAATGAAATGGAGAACAGGCTGTGTAACTCATAGAAAAACTGAGTTGTTGAAAAAAAGTGCTAGCCCAGGTTATTTACATTTTCAGGAAGTCAAAGATAAGTCTACGCAAAATTTCAAAAACGCAAACCTGTTCTGCCACGCCATCTGACCTGGCCTAGCGCAAGGCTGCTTCTAACTAGAAGCTACGTAGGTACACCAACCCTCTATTCCCAAAAGCAGAGCTACTGTCTGCTGACTCCCAGGACGTTGACCAGGAGTAGCACCATGCTGGTCATGATTGCCCAGTTTCTTGGCTCAAAACATGCTCACACTTGCCTGCAAAATATAATGGAGGTATGAAATTTGGGATGTAACATGACATGTAACATGATATAAGCAGAAGTAATCATGGTAACATCCCAAGACTGACTTTACTGGTTAAAATAAAGTATGCATCATCTGACACATTTCACATCAGAATTCTAGTGAATCCTGGCCAAAATTTTAGCATATCCTGACCCCAACTCACATGTTAACTGCCTTTGGCAGAGGTTTTTCAACAACGCTGCTCGCTGCAGTATTCTACAGCTGAACTTAAGATACCTGCCTGTCTCCTGTGTGGATTTCAACAGCCAGTCACAAGAAAATGTTTTCTCCTTAAGAGTTTTATGTATTTGACAGCATAAAGGAAAACTGTTTACAAAGGGGATCATGAGCCAGATGAAAGTTTTTAGCAAACTGATGAAACACCTGAGATACGTAAAGTATATATATTTTTAAATTATAAAATCCCAGAACTAGTTCTGTGAATTTTAGATTAAGTCCAGAGAAGGACGTATTGGAAATTTATACTGCTTAGAGATTTTAGTATTTGATGTTTCAAAGAGACACTCAGCAAACTTCAGCATGAGGTTGTACTGCTTCTTCCTTTGTTGATTGGTGACAAGGGCTAGAAGACGAAGTTTTTACCTATACTGTTTCCTGCAGATCTATCTGTGGCTTTCCTGGACTTAATCACCTGTTCCATCAACCCTAGACAACCATTCCTGGAAGGGTGAGGTTGTTTGGGAATTTATTGCTTTAAAAGAGATCCTTCCACAGCTTCCACTGTAGAAAGATTTATTATGTGAGGATTCTTTCATGCAAGAATCATTCTCTGTTGACAACAGAGAATGTTTCAGTTACAATGACATACTAGAAAGTTTAGTTCTCCTTGCCTCCAGTGTACTTTCACCTCTGTTAAAACATTATTAACATTGTTTAGTACACATTCTTGCAGAGTTCTATATTGGTTTACAATCAGAAAAGGTATCATATTCCAATCAGACATAACATGCACTGATAAAACCAACTGTCAGCTAACGGCAGTTATGTGTCTCACTAAAGGAGCAGGCTTGTGTTTTCATAATTGTCTTTAATACTACTTTTGCAAAGAAAATTCAATTCTTTACTTTCTCTAAGCTCCTGTATCCCAAGGACTCCTCAGGGTAATAAACCAATCTGTTCAAAGACTAAAAAACTAGAGAAGAGTGACCAAATTACCAGAACTGAGTTCTTGATTAAGTTCTAAGTAAGTTGTCATGGTAGTTACAAACAATACTATTAAATTTTGAAACAAAACAAAGCAACACAAGTAACTTTCTCCATTACATTAGATGTCAATAAAGTGCATTTAATAGGATCCCCACCAAAACGCTGATCGTCCATCTAGATTCTTCTCTTACCAGGTGGCTCAGATTGTGCTCCTCGATGGCTTTCCATATTCACATTCTCTTCATCTGCTGGGAAACAAATAGTTGTTTAGCATCCAAATTCTTCAAAGTTGCCGATTAATAGACATAATTTGAGATAAGAAACAGCACCGAAGAGACTGGGCTACTGATAGTAGTTGAGATGCCCTTGTGCTGCTTGCATGTTAATTTTAACATACATAGTAAATGCCACTCCATTTCCAAACTTCTCAAATTACAAAGCAGCAGTGCCTAGCTGGATGGCTGCTCTATCATCTCTCTTCACCAATCAGTCAGAAAGGACAGGGGGAAAAAGAAACTTCTGCCTCATCTATCACTCACAACACTCATAAAGTTCTCTAATCCAAGTTATATCCTATTTATCACAGAATGACAGAACGTTTTGGGATGGCAGGGACATTAAAGGTCATCTAGTTCAACCCCCCTGCAGTGAGCAGGGACATCTTCAAACAGGTCAGGTTGCTCAGAGTCCCATCGGGCCTGGCCTTGAATGTTTCCAGGGATGGGGCTTCTACCACCTCTCTGGGCAACCTGTTCCACTGTTTCACCATGATCCTTATAAGATATTTCTTCCTTACATCTAGTCTCAGTCTACCCTCTTAGTTTAAAACTGTTATCCCTTGTCCTGTAACTACACTCCCTGATAAAAGAGTCCCTCCCCAGATTTCCTGTAGGCCCCCTTTAAGTCCTGGAAGGCCACTGTAAGGTCTCCCCAGAGCCTTCTCTTCTCCAGCCTGAACAGCCCCAACTCTCTCAGCCTGTCCTCATGGGGAAGGTGCTCCATTTAAGGAGCCAGTAGCAAGCAACAGATGACTGCAGAAGAAAGAATCATTTGGGGTGAACATCCAGGTAGTTGTCAGAAAACACTATACTACGTAGGCAAGCATCTTGTGAAGACAGAAAGGCAAGACTTAGAAAATTAGAAACGACAAAGTATTTTTCAGCATGAAAATAGTATCTAATCTCTAACCTCCACTCAATTTTCCTTATAGAAATGTTTTCTTACAGTCTCTCCTGCACTCTTTAGAAGGAAATGCTTTTATTTTAAGAAATGCAAAGCCTTAAGTCTGTCTGCTTCTGAAAGTCTAAATTTTGGGCAAGACATTCTTCAGACCATCTTAGACAACTATTAAGAGCATTTACATACTGTGAACCCAAATTCATTGTGCTATTAAAACTACCTTATGCGTAAGATCAATTTCTATCCCCCACATAAATACAAAACCACATCTCTTTAGATAGTAGGAAATAAAACTAAGTGAGAATTCTTACCGCTTTGTTTGAAACAGAGCTTCTTCTTCTGGTAAGCAATGAAACTAGATACTGTTCCAAGTACAGTAGCAAAAACAGCACTTACAATTCCAGCTATCGCTCCCTGAGAAGCTAGGGGGAAAAAAGAAAAAGGGAAAAAAAAGGCTTTTTATACATTTTTCAAAACTGAAAGCAATATCAAACTACTATTGTCTCAAAGTAAACCCCGTGAACACTTCTAAACAGCAATAAACTGAAATTATTACATGAAACTGTAATCAACTTCTTCTGTCTTTGTGAATAATGAAAAGTGAATCCTCTAATTTTATAATCATTGATTTCTTAGCATTGCGTGTTGTTAAGCAACTTAAGCATACCTGTTGCAAATTCCACTAACTAAAAAAAGCTGCCCTTTCATAGCCAAATCTAAGTTGTATGCATGCAAACACTGCACCAGCATCTCTGAGACCTTAACACTTCTGAAAGATTTGCAACATTGACATTTTAAAGAACTGTGAAAGTAGAGCTTGAAAATTCAAACTCTAAATTCCACAGAAGTTTTTAAAGCTGAAACCCACTACCAGCAGTGACCATTCTAGCAGAATATTAGCAATACAGAAAATCCTAGAAAACAAGCTTCGGACATACAGACATTATCATACACCTAAACATATGCATTTATCCTCAGATTCTGTGCCATTATTTGGACCTGGACCCATGCATTCTCTAAAAATGAATAAAAGGTTTAGATCTTACACGTCTAAAGAGCAGCCATATCATAACTGACAACCTTTATGCCAGTTAATCATGCAAAACTAAAAGCCACCTATTCTATCCATGCACTGCTAAGCTCCGGCACCTAAACTTCCTATTTTCAAAGCACAGTTCATGGTGGTGCCAACTTCAGCCTCGGGTGCTCAGCTCTTCTACAAAATGAGTGCAGCACACTTGTGCAATCTGGTTTAAGCAGCTTGACCACCGTCACAGAATACTCAGTGGAGAGAAACAGCATGTAATTTCAGGATAGCATTCAACTGTATTTCCATGGAACCAGTTATCTTTTCCTCATTTACTAAATACCTTTGCAATTCTCTGAGCGAACAAGACAGAAGTTCTGCAAATTCTATCCCTATTTGTCACTATGAAACTCGTATCACTGAAGCAGGAACCTGTGCAGATGAAAACACCACAGAAGTTTCAACAGATGCTTCTTTGCCCAGAGAAGCTGTAGAAGCCCCCTCCCTGGAAGTGTTCAAGGCCAGGCTGGACAGAACTTTGAGCAACTTGGTCTAGTGGGAGGTGTCCCTGCCCATGGCAGGGAGGTTAGAACTAGGTGATCTTTAAGGACCCTTGCAACCCAAACGACCCTACGATTTTTGTCCCTGCTAATTTTCAAGTTACCGCACCAAAGGAACCTTGGAAGGTGAAAGCTTCCCAAAAAGTTAGCAGCAGTAATCTCTGAAGAAGTCAGTAACCAGTGGCACATCTCAAGACCACATTCAGACACTTAAGCTAACTCTGGTCTGGAAACTGTCAAGTTGCAGTTATGCACACAGGGACAACTAATCACATTGTGATTATGACTGTGGGATATTTAGAGAACAGCAAATGTGTTTTGAGCAAGCCAGGCAGCCTGTTTTTAGACAAGTTTTAGGCCTCGCTTGACAAGAGTTTGTGAAGGACATTGTGAAGGTCACTAGCTGTGAGAATATGCTGAAGCAAACAAAAAGAAGGAGCTGTGGCTGGGGTATATGACTGAAAACAGAAACAAACCCAGGCTGCAGGTGGGGAGAAGAAGAGCGAAACAGCAAAGGAAAACAGCGTGTGAACAGGAGCATGGACTGCGTGTGTTTGTTGTTAATAGCCAATCAATATAGAGCATTTAGAAAACAAGGACGTTGTGAACTGTATAAAAACTGCGTTAGTGCGTTAATAAAGTGGCATTTGCTTGATCACATTGATCGTCAGCAGTGTCCGTGACTTCCGCGTCAACATTATTCCAGCCTGGTTCCAATGTCCAGCTCTGTACTGAGCTGCATCGTAACAATTAGACATGACAGATTACTCAAAAAGAGTTTGATAAGCTATGAAATGGTTTTATACTGCTCAGAGTACATATACATACATCACTTGGAAGTCTAAGGATCAATTCATCGTGTGGGGCAGATGAGATCTTTGAGAACACAAGATGGACCCTCTTCTGGCCCACCCCTGGGCTGCCTAACCACAGGAACTAAAAGAAACTGAGAGTATGCCACAGAAGATCTGAAAATAACACCTGTATGCCTTTAAGAACTATATTTGTGATTAATTTTGAAATACGTACCACATTCACACCTCAGTCTTAAAGTCCATCTTTCTTTAGCAGAACAGTAAAAATCATTGAAGATTTTGCCTCTACAGCAGTTCTCTCTCTTAATTATCTCGGGTTTTTTGGCAGAGACAGAACACATTGCTCTTGAACTGGAAGGAACGCTTTTAAGTTTCACATACCAGAACCAAAGGTGTTACAAATTAAACCACATTAATCAGCTTGTGAGCAAGCTTTTATCAAAAGCTCAGGTAGTTAGAGGATCAATATGAAGCACAACCTACTGTCTTACCATTGTTGCCACTGTTGTCCTCTCCTTTTGGTAAACTGCCATCGTATAGATCTGAATCATCAAACCCACCTACAAAAAATAAAAATGTCATCCTAGATGTTTTAAGTTCAGTGAAAAAACACTTCAAGGCACATAAAAACATGGAAGTTTTCTCTACATTGTTCAACATTCTCTACATTGTTTATTCTGTCCTATCTTTCCTCCTCCCCACACCATCCGACTTCTAAGTGAAAGTGACTCAACAGGTTTGTTATGGAATTTCAAGACTGCTGCAAAGCTTATTTTTCCTGAATCTTCAGTGTTTATCCAGTGCAACATCTAACATATACGGCAGCCAAGTTACAAGGAGTAATTATTAGGAGTTTAATTGACATAGTAAAACCACATCACTATTCAGGAATTTGTGCATACCAGAGTCTTTAGGACGAGCAGATGGACCACGCCTGGGGTTATCTAGAGACAAAAGAGAGATTTAGAAAGAGAAGAAAAAGGTTAAGATATCAAAAGTAGACTACAAAGCAGTAACTTTGAAAGTTACTAGGAAAGATTAACAAATACTTTTCTAGTGTTCAGAAATTCTTGTTAGGTCAGTCTTACCAGCATCTTTAGGTTTTGTTGGTGGAGCTCGCTTGGGGACATCTGTAAACAAACAGAGTTAGAACAAAGTAAGCAAAGTTACTAGTGTGAAGAGATCAAAAACAGAGCATATAGTGACCCTCTGGATGTGACCATTCAACCAATTTTTCATCCACTGGACAGTGTACCCATCAGATCCCTACAGCTCCAACATAAAGATAAGGATGTTGTGTGGGCCCATGTCAAAGGCCTTATGGAAGAAGTCCAGGTAGACAACATCTGTAGCTCTTCCCTTGTTCACTGATGTACTCACTCCATCACAGAAGGCCACTAGGTTGGTCAGGCAGGACTTGCTCTTGATGAAGTCATGCCAGCTGTCTCAAATCACCTCCCTGTGCCTTAGCAAAGCTGAATGGCAGCAGTTGGAATAAAATACCAGCAGTCAGAAGCAGATTGCCTTAAGAGAGACAAAACTTTAAAAGCGCTAAATCAAACTGATGAGCAAACCATGCTGTTGTCCTGCAGCTCTACACCTTGTGCCAGTAAAGCTGTCTGTACTGCAAGGGGTCTAGTGATGGTACTTGAAAAGGTACTGTGCATTACCTGCCAGCTGGATGCACCTTTTACTGGCTGAGTGAAAACAATACTGCAACTTCTGCTGCTGCCCACACTGCAGAGCTGAAGTGCATTAGAAAGAGCACATTCCTTCATATCATTTCACACAGATCAATGTTTCCTTATGGTACTGAAACTACTTCCTAGAAAGGAAGAGATTGCTTCACATTTAAAAACTACTTCCGTAAGGAATACTTTGTGGAATTAGTGCCACCTAGTGAAGGCACAGCAATGAAACAAGTAGGACTTGGCTAAGAAATTAGTGAAATACATACAGTTTTTGTGATTTAGTAGGTACAACTACATTTGATTTCACAGTAAAAGGCACTACAAGCCAGTGAGATCTCACTGATACCTGATGGTGGTGGCTTCCGAGATGGAGGAGGCTTCTTTGTAGTTCCTGTCACATGTGATTAGAAAAAAGATAGTTAAAATCCTATTTAACACACGTACACGTATAGGATGGACATATGCAAGCCTATGTCTCTACAATGAAAAGCACAAGACCAAATCTACACAGCAAGACACTTTCCCTTTTAGAGGAATCCCTGAGTGTCCACAAAGACAAATTTCAGTTCTATGAGGTCAATATTTTGATATACTCATAGCAGAATTGTTCCAATGAAGTTTAAACAAATCATATATGGGGAAGATGTCATGCTTGGTCATGCAGCAATACTCAGAAACAAACAAGTCAAAAGAGCAGCCACTATCTTCCCTGCCCGCTTTCCCAAATATCCAAGAGTGTAATAATTACCAAGTGCATCTTCTAAGTTGAAGTCATCAACATCACCTGTAAAAGATGAAAGCAACAGTAAGAACTTTGTTTTTCTTTCTCAAAAGCAACAACTATTAGTCATAAACATGCCTCTGATCTATCCTAAGGTATGTTTTCTGTGTCCTGCATCAGGCTAGAAGTGTATTTTGAACCAGATCTGAAGACACTCTTCTCTGCTCCTCCAGACATCAGGAAAAAGAAAAGAAACCGCACTAAAAATGGTCTCTATAGAAAGGATCCAGAGAGCCAGAATATATATTCCTACAGTCAATGTAATGCATTTAATACTTTATTCTTGCTACTGCTATTGCATCCTTTCCGAGTGCTGTTCAAAGCACATTATTTCCTATCCTTCTTTCCACTGAGCCACAAAATGAGCTCCAATTCGCAAGAGTTTACAAGATTCAAGTGTGAATAAGAGCCCTGGAGCACAAAGACCGGTATGAAAATTATATGATTGGGTAATGAATTTAATACCTTAGCATTAAAAATTAGTTTTCATGGGTTTATAAGACTCATCTTTCCCCCTAACAATGGTTAATAGAATGAAGGTGGCTAAGCTATTAGCACAGATAGTCTTGAGCCATCTCTTCAACTTCTCAAAAGCCAGTTAAATGCAGCTGTTTCCACTCTCTCCTTGTCATGGTTTAGGACCAGCCAGCAGCCAAGCACCATACAGCCACTCTCTCCCTCCTCCCTTCCGATGAGATGAGGAGGAGAGAATATAATAAAAGGCCTATGGGTCAAGACAAGGACAGAGGAGTTATGGTCAGTGGCAAAACAGACAACTTGGCAAAAAAAAAAATCAATTTAATTTGTTACCAATCAAATCAGAATAAGATAATGAGAAATAAAACCAAACCTTAAAAACACTTTCCACACACTCTTCCCTTCTTGCCGGGCCCCACTTTGCATCCAATTTCTCTACCTCCTCCCTCAATGGTGCAGGGGCATGAGAAACAGGGGTTGTGGTCAGTTCATCACACTGCTGCTCCTTCCTCCTCAAGAGGAGGACTCCTCACACTCTCCTGCTCCAGTTTGGGGTTCCTCCCACAGGAGACAGTTCTCCACAAACTTCTCCAACTTGAGTCCTTTCCATGGGCTGCTGTTCTTCATGAACTGCTCCAACATGCGTCCCTTCAGGAGCAGACTGCTCCAGTGTGGGCTTCCCTTGGAGTCACGGCCTTCTGTAGGTGCAGCCACCTGCTTCAGCGTGGGGTCCTCCACGGGCTGCAGGGGGACAACCTGCCTCACCACGGGCTGCAGGGGAATCTCTGCTCCAGTGCCAGGAGCACCTCCTCCCCTGCTCCTTCACTGACCTTAGGGTCCACAGAGCTGTTTCTCTCACATCCCACTTGTCTCTCCACTGCGGGTTTTCCAGCAGGTCTTTTTCCCTTCTTACGTAGGCACTACCACTGTCGCTGTTGGGCTTGGCATTGGCCAGCAGTGAGTCTGTCTGGGAGCCAGGGAAACTTCTAACAGCTTCTCACAGGAGCCACCTCACTACCAAAACCCCAACACACACAAACCCAATACACAACTCCCAGTAGGTTAAGTTTTATTTTCAGCCCTCAGGAAAAGAACATCCTCTCTTACTGTATTAGGTCAGCTGCTAGAGCTACTGCTGCTTACCCAGCCAACTGCAGTCATGCTAACTCGATATATTCATGATACAAACTGGTTACACAGCATGAATATAGTAGTGTGAGCTCACCAGCAGAGGCTTGTAAGATAAAAAAGACAGCTAAAACATCTGCTCGGGATATTTCTGATGGTTCATCGTTCCTACTTTCACTGAAGCATGGAAAAAGAAAACAGCAAGAAAGTAGAGAACAAGATAAAGATTTTCAGGAAAAAGACATCCAAATATATTCCAACATACATCCAGTATATTCCAACGCTGAAGAAGCTGGAAGACTTCTTCTATGTACCAAGTATCAAGCCAACCAGAGCAAAACTTAATTCCAGTCAGAGCTACCTTAATTCAGAAGATACACACATAAAGCACTGATGTGTCGTGCTCTTCCTCTAAGAATGTAGCTACAGAAGAGGAGTCAGAACTGGTAACTGCAAAGTCTGAAGACAGGAATGAAACCCAAACACTTCACTCCAGGTGGAGAACATAAGCTTTTTTAGATGCTTAGCTCATGAAAATCTCTTTCACAGAATGCACAATATTTGCAAGTTATCTGAAGCCTGCAACATCTTGCAATGTGATCTTAAAAACCTCAGTAAAATGAGCAGTTGCTGAGATCCAAATTTGTTACCTCTGAAGTTACCCCTTTGTTTAGACTATATCAAGAAACCTCTATATTAACAACTTCTATATCAAAAGGTCAAAACACTCGAGAGATATTTAAACAGGTATTTGCATAGTTCTTCCTCAAACATGAATTCTGGTTGGTTTGTTTCTCAGATACATACATCTCTCAGGCTACAGTCCTCCAGGAAGGAATGCCTAAACCCATAGCTCATCAGGTTTAACTTTAACAAGGCAGGCAGAGGGATCTGTTGAAGATGCAAGCTCCTCAAAACACTCTACCAAGAGTAGCAGCCAGAGGATGGACCACAACCAGCTGTTAACACCAACTGTAGCAAGGGTCAAGACACATCACTAAGTCATTATCATAGAATGGCCTTGGCTGGAAGGGACCTCAGAGATCATTTTAATCCAACCTCCCTATCATGGGCCAGGGACACGACCTCTCGACTAGATCCGGCAACACATGGGGACTAAACGGGAATTGAACCTGGGATCTCGGTGTTCCCAGCACCGCGCTCAATCCACTGAGCTAACCGGCATGTCAGTGAATGTTACATTGGTGGGTATAGTTCAAGAACACTATTTCTTTTTAGGAGTGGCTGAGGGAAAAACAAACATGCAGACTCAACATTGAGCTCTGGTGGAGCTGAAGATTTACCCAGAGCAGAAAAGAAGTTCTATGAAGAGTCTCCCACTGCCACCACGAACCTTAGTCTGAGAACTCTGAAGGGTTCCAGCTGCAGAGGTTTCCGTCAAGAGGAAGAAATTGGTGTAAAAGAGTCAGTGACATTGCTACTTTAAGGGCTTGTTTTCACACATGATCATCCTGGAGAAATAATTTAGGATGTAACTGCTAAGTGACAACCTCACATAAGACATGCTTTAGAGAACAACAAACAAATCTGAGAGTTAATAAATTGAAAAAAAAAATCTACATTGACTGCAATTATTCAATATTCTGCAACGACAGTTCAGTTTTCCAAGCATGCAGCAAGATGTCAGGCTCTTCAAACACATTGTTTTATCTTGATAAAGTAACAGAACATGTCAGAACCTAGCTTATGAAACTCATTACAATAACATGCACTCTGCAGTCTACTTCCCCAGCAAAGCCTGGGCATTTCTCCACTGTTCATGATTAACTTTCACATGTCATTAAACCCCTTGCTTTTACAACTATGCTCATTCAGCTTCAAATATGAGGGGGTCCACCTAACACAGAAGTTCAATCACTTAGCCTGAGAGAGGCTCAGTACCAGGGATTCAGCTGGTTCCAAGAAGAAACAGACAATGGAGATAAAGCTACAAAGCTAGAATAAAGGTAGTTGCAGTATTCAAGGAGAAAAAGTAATCAAGAATATGCTGTACGCCCTACAGGTTTAAGGAGCATCCAGAGTAACTGAGCTTATGAGCATTTTCTTAGCCTAAGCAAAGATAATTGCAAATAAAGCTGATACATTGCATTTAAAGCACAGTACAGCAGATACTTCTAACAGCAGGTATTTCTAGCTCCTAGGGGCATAAGCAGATTCAAGAACATTTCAGAAGTGTCTGTACTATTTTCCTTCCATCACCATAGCTCAAATAGCAGAATCTCAAGAGACAGATCCTCAGCAGGCTTTTCCCAGTAACTTGCACATTTCGTGTCAGATGGGGTAAAAACAGCAGGTAAAACAAAAGAGAAAAATAAGCTTTTGAAAAGCTGATGAGCTAGAAGGTATTCTAGACAGCAAAGTAACTATGCTAACAGAAGTCCCTTGCAAAGACTCTCTCTCAGATACTTACTGCTACAATATTAGATTAATCATATTTACATTCCACGGCAGAAGCCAACACGAGTGTTGCAAGGTTCCTCCATTAGTCCTGTGTATGATGAGATGCCAAGAAAGGAGACTGGTGATGAATCACCACAAAGATAACTTTCTGACTTGTGCAACAAGACTGCTTGAATTCTGTTTTTCTAAAACTGCTGGCACTCGCCTCCTTCCCTCCCTCCGCACCCAGTGCCCTGCACACCAAAGGGTGTCACAGAGCCTGCAGGCTTCAGCTGGTCTTCCAGCTGTAGGCCTATGGACCAGGGGACAGCGGTCAGCTTGTCTCTGTCCCACTGCTGGGTGTTATCTGCCACTCTATCAGTGGGTGAGTAACTTACAGTCATAAAATAGCTTGATATAGAAGAGACCCATACAGATCAAGTTCAACTCCCTGCTCCTCACAGGATCACCTAAAACTAAACCACAAGACTAAGAGAGTCATCCAGACACTCCTTGAACTCTGACAGGCTTGATGCCGTGACCATTTCCTGGGAGAGCCTGTTCCAGTGACTGATCATCCTCTTAGTGAAGAACGTTTTCCTAATGTCCAATCTAAACTTCCCCTGACACAGCTTTATTCACTTTGCTCATGTCCTATCATCGGTCACCAGAGACAGAAGATGAGCGCCTTCCCCTCCACTGCCTTTCTTCAGAAAGGCATAGGCTGCAATGAGGTCACCCCTCAGCCCTCTCAAAGTTGAACAAACCAAGCCACCTCAGCCACTTCTCACAAGTCTTGTCCTCAAAGTCCTTCACCATCTTGGTCGCCCTCCTCTGGATACCCTCTAATAGTTTTGTAGAATCACTTAGGTTGGAAAAGACCCTTGAGATCGAGTCCAACCATCTGATGCCTTCATATTAAGGTGCCCAAAACTGCACACAATACTCAAAATGGGGCTGCACAAGTGCAGTGTAGAGTGGGACCAGCACATTCTTCCAAGCAATGCTGTGCTTGATGCACCCCAGGTCACAGTTGGCCCTTCTGGCTGCCAGGGTACCCTGCTGACTCATGTACAACATGCCATCAAGCCAAACCCCCAAACTCACAGATGATCAAGAAGCTCCTGGACACACTTAAAGATAAAAAAGAGAATTTACAGGAAGTGGAAGAAAGGACAAGTAGATTGGGAAGAATAAAAGGAAGTGGTCCCAGCAACCAGGGATCAGGTTAGGAAAGTTAAAGCCCAGACAGAATTACATCTAGCCAGGGCCATCAGGGGTAACAAGAAAAGCTTTTATAGGGATGTCAATGATAAAGAAAATCTAGGGAAGATGTGGCCCCTTTGGAAGGGAACAGGAGAGCTGGTCATGAAGAACAGGGAGAAGACGGAGGTTCTCAATGACTTCTTTGCCTCAGTCTTCTCCGGCAAGGGCTCCTGTTGCACTGTCCAAATTGTAGAAGCCAAAGGTGGGGGCTGGGAGAAGGAAAATCCGCCCACTATAAGTGAAGATCAGGTTCAAGACCATTTAAAGAACCTGAAGGTGCACAAGTCCATGGGACTTGATGAGATCCATCCATGGGTCCTGAGGGAACTTGCAGATGAAGCTGCTAGGCCACTTTCCATCATATTTGAGAGGTCATGGCAGCCTTGCAAAGTGCCCACTGACTGGAAAAGGGAAATCACCCCCAGCTTCAAAAAGGGAAAAAAGGAAGATCCAGGTATCTACAGGCCAGTCAGTCTCACTTCTGTGCCTGGCAAGATCACAGAGTAGATCCTTCTGAAGGCTCTGCTATTGCACATGGAAAATGCGGAGATGACTGGTGGCAACCAACACGGCTTCACCAAGGGAAAATCCTGCCTAACAAATCTGGTGGCTTTTTATGATGGAGTAGCAGAATCAACTGACAAGGGAAAAGAAACTGATGTCATCTGCCTGGACTTGTGCAAGGCCTTTGACACTGTCCCGCATGATATCCTGGTCTCCAAGTTGGAAAGACATGGATTTGATGGATGGGCCACTCAGTAGATAAGGAACTGTCTGGAAGATCACACTCAAAGAGTTGCAGTCAATGGCTCAATGCCCAAATGGAGACCAATGACAAATGGTGTCCC